AATTCCAAAATTTTTTAATTCTAAAATTTCTATATTTCTAAATTTTCATATTTCTAGTTTCCTAAATCCCTAGATCTCCAAATCCTTAAAACCTAAAATCTCTATATTTCCATATTTTTAGGGTCCCTAGATTGTTAGATTTCCAGGTCCCTGAATCATAAAATAACTAGGTCTTATATTAGATTTGTAGATCCTAGATCTTAAAGTAAACTATAGTAACCTATAATAAGCTATATAGATTTAGTTAAAGATGACCAGAAACGCCACCAAACTATAATAAACCATAGTGATCTTTAATGAACTATACATATAGATTTATTTAATGATGTGTGACCAGAAACGACACGAAACTAGTATAGCAAACTATAGTAATCTATAATGAACTATACAGATCTAGTTAAAGATGTGTAACCAGAAACGGTACCAAACTATAGTACACCCTAGTAATCTACAATAAACTAAAAATCTATAATACATAGATTCAGTTAGAGACGTATAACCAGAAACGTCACGAAGTCCATCGTCGAATTTGAATCCGTGGTTCCACATGAACGGCGGCTTAAAGGTTTCGACATCGGGCACGAAAATGAAACGGGCCATACAATAGCACGAATTTGCAGCTCTCCTTGCAGCAATTAGCCCCTATTGAGGTGTGCACGACAGCTCTTTGGGACCGGTCCCGCCTTCTTCGCCCCTGTGCCCTCTTGCGGGCACGCCACGTGCACGCGATCGCCACAAGCACAAGCGGATCGCACCGCACGCCCATCGTCTGTCGGATGAATTCCCATTAAGGTACGCGGGTCCGCCTCTCAATGAAAACGACCAGGCTGCCCTCGACTTTGTAAACCACGGTGTCACGATATCGTCCGTTCAATAGCCGCCCTTAATTCCGTTGCATTTCCTCGCCCGCCATTTTAGACCGCGAAACAAGATTATGCGGGATACATAACCTCCTTATCGAGTTACGCTTCAAATCTTATAGTTGGAATATTTAATGATATCTTAGGATGTTTTCAATTTCTTGTTGATATTAAATTGGGGAGACTTGAAGAACTTGTCTTGTTTAGATATTTAATGAATTTTGTGAAAATTAAACTATTCCATTCAAACGAAGGTTAATCGATTAAAGATGGCGGCACAAGTATTCATTCGATTACGAAGTTCAGAGCTGAAGTTGTCCTCTGAAAATCCTTTACTTATATAAATGTGACTTGTTTAATAACATTAATTTAGTCAAATGTTAAAATAAATAATACAATGCCTTAAGCTTAAAGGCGTTAAACTTTTCCATCAACAAAATCCAACAAAATCCCCTTCAAAGAAAGGGACTCAGCTACCATATGTTAGAATGACGAACGTATTTCCGTACAATCGCACGATCATCGTCGCATAATCGATATGTGGGGTTGTTATTATGATCGAATGCCCAGGGGTGTGATTTGTCAGCGTCGGTGAATCGCAATTTCACAGTCGCACCCCGAAGGACAGGAATTAACTTGGTTCCCAGCGTTATCCACGATTTCCATTGAATTCGCAGAGGAGCTGGTCGTGGCACGATCCCGCGTAAATTTGCATAACGAAGAGGTGCACAGGGCAAACACAATGTGTTTTCATACCGATGATTTATCGCTTCCGACGAAAGCGCGTGTTTGAACGTCTCTTAATAATTTGCACTGCCAACACGACACGGTCTGTGCGTTCGTGTCGCAGTGTACTGTCAAATAGACAGGGTTCAAATATCTCTTGAATAGAAATGGAGGATCATTGATTCGTATGGATGCGAGTTATTGTAAATATAGAAAGTTAAATCTATTAACGTTTAATGTAGTACTCCACTAATTATTATTAGAATATTAAAGAGAGATTAGGAGTTGAGGGATATGGGACAAGCAGTGCTTTAGGCATAGATTAATATGCCATTATGTTAATTAGTATGCTGATATGATCAGAATGTAACACTCTATATGAGCATGAAGGTTATAGTACTAATATTAGTAAGTATTCTAAGTATTCTATGCATGTATTCTATATAGTATGCACATACTATGTCTTCTAGGGTTACAAGACTATACAAGGTATCTTACAACTAGTGTAGGGACCTAGGGTGATAGAGCACGTAATTCTGAACAAAATTTCCCTTTGCAAAAATTTGATTTGAAGCTTCGTTTTTGAGTTATTAAGGAAAAACACGGACCAATCAGAGCGCGAGGATGACGCGCGCTCAGCCACTAGGATCGAAGCTACCTCGCGCCTGCGCACGCCCTCGCGCTCTGATTGGTCCGTGTTTTTCCTTAATAACTCAAAAACGAAGCTTCAAATCAAATTTTTGCAAAGGGAAATTTTATTCAGAATCACGTCAGCTATCCTCCATTTCAAGGACTACGTTGTGAAACATCCTGTATAGTAATTTATGAAATTTTTAGTTGAATACAATTATTAAAATTAAATACGTACATCTCTATATTTTCTGTTACTTTTATTTGAGGTTGTGTTTTATAGTAATTTTGACATTTAGAACTTTCTATTTAATTCGTTCGTTAAATACGTATGTAAATAGATGATGAAAAATCTTTTATGAAATGCAGAAGATATTTATTCGTAACAATAAATTAAATGTTTATATAATT